GAGAGAGAGAGAGAGAGAGAGAGAGAGAGAGAGAGAGAGAGAGACTGATACTGGGAATTTAACCCAAGGCATTCTACCATTGAGTAACACCCCTAGCCTCCCTCCATTTTATTTTGAGACAGGGTCTTGATAAGTTGTTCAGCCTAGCCTCTAACTTGCAATCCTCTTGCCTCAGGTGTATTATACCACTATGCCCAGTTCATGTTCATATTTTTTTTAAAGACAGGATACAGAAAATTGTTAAGAGCAGTTATTTTCCAAAAGAAATTTGTTGACGTGCTAGACACTATTTGGGTATGGGGGCTATAGCAGTCGACAATAAAGCACACTCCTTGCTCTTATGGATTCTATTTCTCATGTAGACAGAAAACATACAGGATAATTTTAGGTGGTGCTAAATACTATGTAGGAAAAAAAAAAACAGGATAAGGGAGTAGGAACAAATGGGGCAAGCAGCTTTAGATTAGATGGTCAGGAAAACCATCTTTGAGGGCGTGTTATTGGAATGAAACATGAGTCAACTTTGTCAAGATATGAGACTTTTAGGCAAGGAAAAGCAAAGCAAAGACCCTGGAGCAAAAGCAAAGATGAAGTGTGGAATGCTACCAGATCAACCAGGACCAATAGGCATTGTCCAAAACAGGAAGGATGGCAAAAGGAATTTGTATTTTATTTTCTGTACCAAAGGAAGCAATTGGATGGTCTTAAGAGGGGTAACATGTGATGCAACTGGTTTTCTTTAAAATGTCATTTCATTTTTTTGTGAAAAATGACTGGCAGGACGACAACAAGAGTGACAGAAGGGAGGCCGGTAAGGATGTTTTTGTAGTAATCTTAAGGAGGAATGGTGGCTTGATTAGGGTAGTCAGTGAAGTTTGAAAGCAGTGAACAGTTCTGGATAATAGTTAGAGACAGAGCTGACTAAATTTTGCAGATGGGTTGACTGTGGCAGTGAGGAAAATCAAGGAGTCCAGATTATTCCTTGTTTTCTTGTCCAGCTTGCATGGATTTGGGTGCGATTTATCAGGGAAGCATTACAAAGGAAAAGGATTTTTTTTGGTGGGTGGGGGGGGGACAAGAATTCTGAACATTTTAAATTTGAGGCATTTTTTAGACTTTCATTCTCTTCTTTTTGCAATGGTTATGTAATAAATATGTAAATGCAGAGTGGGGTTTTTTGTGCTTACATTTTTAAAAACATAATGAAGTAAGTTTTGGAACATTCAAAAAATGTTAAGCCAACTGGGTGCTTCAATTATTCCAATAAAGACAGGGGGCCTATCTCACCTGGGAAAGTTATTGAGATGAGACTAATAAATAGGACAAATGCCTCTGTCTTGAAAACAAGCAGTTGTAGAATTCACAAGAAAAAGCGATGTGTTAAATTTGTTCCTGAGCATGAACAATGATGGGCATCCATGAGTGAACCTTTTCACAATGGTCATAGCCCATAAGAACACATTTTTTAGGAGAAAACCAAGTGTAATCATGCAGCTGTCCTTTAAGTTTAGAAAGGGAACTTTGACCAAATGTGCATGTGGAAGGGATATAGCAGTAATTTCTTCCTCACAGGAACAATGCAGAGGGAATAGGAGGGCAATTATTGGAGAGACTTTATAGAGTATACTGGTCAAGGGTGTGGTTCTGGAGCCAAACCAATGTGCTCTAATATTACTTTCACCACTTACCTAGATGTGTTACTTCATTCAAGTTTCACAACTTCAGCTATGTTACATAGCTATGTTACATAAAAAAAGGACGTACCCTACAACCCTCCTTTTCAGATTCCTCTTCTCAGTTATCAGCCCTTTTGGAGGATTTCCTTAGCTAGGGAAATCATCCATCCTAAGACAGCATCTTATTCCAGGGGAAGTTACCTGAGTGATCAACAAGGTGCATGAAGGAGGGCCTGCCTGTGTCGCTCCAATGCAGGGCAGCTAGCAGGGTCTTTCCAGCTGCACAGCTCCCCCTGGACCTGGCTGAGGCCTTCGCTGGGACTGCATTCCACTTAAGGCTCTCTGCCCAATCATGCTTTCTTCTCCTTCCTTCCCTATGTTTGATCCCAAGACCACTGACTAATAAACACCCTGCATGCTAAAACTCCCTCTTGGGCTCTGTTTCCCAGGGAACCCAACCAGAAACAAGTGTACCCTCTTCATAGGGTGATCTTAGAAGTAAACAAGTTACCATCAAGAAAGGACTTAAAAGGGTGTTTGCACATAGTAAGGGAAATGTGTTGGCTGCAAGTATTGATCTTCCTGTGGCTTACCAACTCCTGTAATAGTCTTTTTTTTTTTCTGCAGTCATAAAGGGTCATTGTAGTGTTGAGTTAATTTTGTTATGTTGTAAAATAAAATTAACTGATTTGTTTTATGTGATAAGACAGAAAGTTATTTTTTGGCCTGTTTGTTGCTATTGGAATCCCCTCAATTTTGGTGTCGGGGGCCATCTTCATGATTGAACCCCAATAATAAGCATGTTCTCTATTTGGATATTGGGGGTTTGATGATGTTGTTGTTGTTGAATTGAGAAAAGGCAGTAGGAGTTAGCTGTATTTCCATTAGCTTAGATTACATACACCTCCTAATAGAGCCTTGTTCATGGCAGGAATCTGCATTTGCTGGGTCCTCTTCTGAAATTTGAGGAAACCAATGTCCTTAGCTCAGTTTATTCCATTCAGACAGAAAAAAATTGTGAAAAACAGAGGGTTGACTTTTAAGCTCATTTTGTTGTTTTTGTCTCCCTCTCCCCACACCTTTTTTTTTTTTTTGGCCTGGTTCAAATACTTGATCCTTATGGACTAAAACAGAGACTGAACTTTCCCATAAAATCAAAGCCTCTAGAAATGAGAATAATCACAAAGCTTCCATACTCACAAGCAATGAATACAAGATCACATGAGACTAATTTGGAAAACAAATGTTCCCACAAAACTCAGATTATTCATTAGATGAGGCCACATTCCAACACATCAGGAGAAAGAAAAAAAAATGACGGATGCAAACTGGCTTAATTGGTAAGGAAAATATCTTTATTTTACCTACAATTCTTCAAAGAACATGAATGTTCATTTTACCTACAATTATTCAAAGAACATTAATTGTATACTTTTGTTTAAACCATATTTACAACACGTGACTCTATTTCTCCGGTTCTAACTGGAAAACCAAAAGATTATGATCCCACTCTTCCATATTTGTTTCATGTCATTCCCTGATAATGAAGCTTTCACACTATGCAAAGTTGGTAAATGATTACCAAACAGGTGATCCGCCCTGGCCTGTTTAGTGGAAATTCTGTGCTATTTGTTTCTTATCCACCTTTGTCCATCCATGACAGTCAGGTCACAGCTCCTCACTCCAGTGGGCACCTCTCTTCTCAGCCACAAGTTGAATAAATTGGGAGTGGCTGGCATAAAGCTTGAGCTTATCATTAATGTCTACCCATTTCACTTCCTTGGCATCATCACCAGCTCTTAGGGGAACACTGTCCATTATTTCACCTGTTTCATCATGGTAGTTCACAGCCTCTGTCTCTATCCACGCATTATCTGTGTTCCGAGGATCGTCCACATAGCCTTTATAGACCACAAAATGCTCCTGGCTGAATAGTCTATGCAAGTCTTTCTCCAGCTCCTGCCTTTCTATTCGAGATTTCTGTAAGGAGTTCATGGCTTCCTCGCCAAATTCCCTCTTCAGCGTCGTGCTGATCTTCTCTCCTGGATCCACCATCCCCCCTGGGATTGCCCATTCGCCACAATCCTTCCTTTTGATGGCTACAAATTGCAGCATGTTTTTCCCAGAAATAGGATGATTAACTGTGTTGCCCTTGGAGTCCCTTTTCCACCTGGTTAAGATGGGATCAGTGGCATGATTGGGGCCCCAACGACCCAAAAGCCCTCTGCCAGCCAGCCCTGTCCGACCGGCAGGATTTCTGGGTCTACCATGTTCAACTTCATATAAGCCGTTCTGGCTCCTTCTCTCTACATGCCCATCCTTTTCATTGAATTTGGGAGAGAAGTTCCTTTCACCCACCGGGGGGTCTGCCCATGCAGGCAGAGCCAAAACAGCGCCAGCAGTGTATTCCACAGGGCTGTACTCTGGCCACTCAACCAACCAGCTCACTTTCTCATCGGGGACCTTGCTTCGCTCTACATTGGAGCCAGGGTATGGAGATGTCCTGGACTTTTTGTGCAGGTTCTCCTCAGTCAAGTTCCAACCCAACATGATGAAGTTTAGAGGAAACTCACAAGAGGAAAATGGGCTCCCGCTGGCCAGGATGCTGGGGCAGCTGCTGGGTCTGACTGCCCCAGAGGCTAAGGTCACAGAGAGAGATACAGTCGCTAAAGTCTTTGCTAGGTGGCGTCCAACCATCCGCGACCCAGCAACCCACATGAATTTTGGCCACTCTCCACTTTTCCAGGACGCAGCCTCTCCCTGCAGATCTAAAAGGCCCCCTGGGGGAGGTGGTCACGTGTATCCCATAAAAGTCCTCTGATGGACCGGGTTTCCTAAAAACCACCTGGTGCTTCCAACCGCCAAGGCTTGGGACAGCGCGTGGGACTAACGTAACTGCGGAACAGTTGGGGGTGTCCCCAGCTCTGTGCCCCCACCCAGTGACTATGATGACGTTTTTAGTCTAAATTGAGAAATCTGGACATCTGAAAGGGTTCCTGGGTTGAGAGCCTCACCCTAACAATAGGAATAAGAATAAAATTAGCAAACAAACAAACAAAAAATTTAAGTAACAAAAGTGCTTTCTTGCTTTCCAAGGCATTAGCCATTTGCTGGTAAATTTAGTTAATAGGTTTAAGACTGTTGTGTGTTTGGGCAAGGGCAGAATGGATATAGGGGTAGGGTGGACAAATCATCTATTTGGGGTACTCAAAAGCCCAGTGAAAACGATCTTCAAGGAGAGGAAGAACTCAATAGGTACGCTGAGCATGCATGGTCTTGATGAAAAATTTGTGTATATTATGGAAATAGTTTCAAAACTTTCACTACCTAAATGGTTTGGTCAAGTTGCTTAATCACTGTTTTAAGTGAGTATTGGCTACAGCATGGCAGGTCCTGTGCTAGCACCCAAGGCTGGATTCTGGGCCAGGAGGTTGCACTACATTTATTTAAAAATAAAATCAACCCTGGAAAGGCAATGTCTGATAATAGCTAAGAGTAAAGCACGAATTCTAAACCCATTCCCAATCCTCTTCATAAAATGAGACCTACTTGGACGACGTTACTTAAAACTCTCTTCAGTCTTCTTGTGTGCACAATGGGAATATTAATATTACCTACTTCATAATATTGTGATGAAATATAGTATGTTATATGTAAAGCTGTTGGCATTATGTATGGTCCACAGGATACACTCAATAAATGCTAGTTTTCATTGCTAATAGTTAATTAACTTTTTTTTTAAACTCTGCACTTTGAAAACTATGTGATTAGAACAGAACAGCTAAAATGATTATGGGAATTGAGCAGCTCACATATGAGGTCAGACTTAAACAATCTATGATTTCTGTCTGCAGAAATTCAGGATGAGAAATAACAGCACCTAAGTCCTGAAATAATAAATAAAAGGAAGAGACACATTATATAGAAGGAAACAAACCCTAGGGAAAGGCATATTATTGTTTAAAAATATTTTAGAACAAATGGGATATCTACTATGTGTTTAACTGAAACTCATAGAATATTTAACATTTCCCAAAGTTTGTTCCATGTTGTACTAGAGTTTCAGTCAATAAGTGATTTTAGGATCAAATATGTTTCAAAAGTTCTATATATTTTATCATCCTCCACCCTCCTCCAAAGTGTTAGTCAGCTTTTTGTTGCTGTGACCCACTATACCTGATAAGAACAACCTAAAGAAGGAAAAATTTATTTTGGGCTAAAATTTTCAAATGTTCAGTCTGTGGTCAACCAACTCTATTACTCTGGGCCCAAGGTGAGGCAGAACATCATGGTGGAGGCATATGGCAGAGGAAAACTGCTCAGCTCGTGGCAGCCAGGAAGCAGAGACAGGCAATATGGACAAAATGTTCTCAGTGACCTATTTCCTCTCCTCATGCTCCACCTTCCCTACAGTTATCACCCAGTTAATCCATTCAATTAAATTATTATTCCATCAAATGGGCCAATCCACTGATTAGGTTACTGTTCTCATAATCTGATCATTTTACCTCTGAACATTCCTGAATTGTCTACCATGAACATTTGGAGGGGACAACTCACATCTGAACCATAACATCGCCCTTAGAAATTCAGGATTTACCTTAGTGTTTTAAATATCTGAGAATTCCTCAAGAACAAAACCAACTCTAAACTGTTTAATTTTGTTTCATCCAGTATTCTCCCAAACTATCTGACCAGAAAATGCTTCTTTTGTGTGGTAACTGGTAAAACTTTAGGAACATACTTTCTCAAATTTAGAAAGGCATCAAAGTATGTGCATATGCTTGGGGATAGATTTACAACCGTTTGAAATTACCACCATCTACTATAGAAGGCAGATACTGAATATGCAACTAACACTCTCATTTAAAAAAAAAAAAAAAAAAACCTAAACTAGGTAGATGAGACAGGCATCCAGAAGGCTTGAAATCCAGAAATAGCGGGCACTATGGAGAATAAAATGGTAGGAAAGGACTGAAAGCAGAGAAATATGGAACTGGTTCATCTAACCATTGTTGTCATCAATATTGTTGAGAATTTACTGTGCACCAGCGCTGTACAAAATACCACAGGGGATGAAAGGTGATCCACTAAGGATACTGTCCCAGCTCTGTACCTCTTGTCTTATTATGCCTGAGTTTTTTTTCAGTCATGGAAATACTATTCTCTGTGCCTCCTGGAAATGTGTTTTAAAACCCACTAATATAAAGATGATCATCTGGGAATGATCCTTGTGAATTCCTCATTTGTCATTTCCAGATATCTAAATTCAACTCATAAGAAACAAATGAAGCAGAAGTCTTGGAGCTGGTTCTAGCTTCCTCCCTCCACGGTCTGTGTAGATTTGCTTTTGATACTTGGTTTCTCTGGGTCTTGGTTCCTCACTGTAAAAGGAATCTGTTGGCCTCTGTTATCTACAAAAGTCCTTCCGGCTTTAACATTTTACGATTCTAGCATCTATAAAAATCTCATTATTAGAAGGCCAAGGTCAACTTTTGCCATGAATCAAAAATACCAGATGTTCAAACATAAACAGATGCTCAGGGGGAAACACACACACACACACACACTTGAGGGTAGCAAGAGAGCAGAGAAGGCGTGGTGGTGTATCACATAAGTTGCAGAAATATAATGGGCCAAAGAAGAATTCATGGAAAACCTGGAAATGAGTTCCAAACCAGCAATCGAACATTATGGTTTTTTTTTTTTTTTTTTTTTTTAGTATCATCAAAGGGCTTAAGACAGTTAAATCAGACCATTTGATGATCATGGTACAAAATATGTCCTAAAGGAAAGAAATGAAATACTATAGTAGAAACCAAAGAATTTTTATTTGCAGGGAACCACTGGGGAGATTCCCTTTTCTAAATTGTCTTCTGAGGCAGAAATGTCTGAGATAGAAGAATAAACAGAGCTAAACAAAAATTTTTCTGGTCCTCTACATGAGAAAGCCCTAGAGGAACTGTAAAGGATAATCAGAAAAATTTTTGGCTGGTCACTATGAGCTATGCCTTGATAAGAGATTTCCTGTGTGATTTCCATTTGATTGAGAATATTAAGGAAGGCAGAGTGGTATGAGGAGGACCAGGGTGATTTCAGGGCTCAGGCAGTACAGAACCCCTCCTGCCTCTCTTTGGGAAGCAGAAACAAGCAATATCTAGCACATTTGATTATAAAGAATTATCCATCTCTTCCTAAAGTAGTGCTAAGACTCAATTTCAGAAAGAAATCTGAAATGAAAGCGGAGGAAAGGTTTTTTTCCCCCTCTATTGAATGAAGTAACAATCATAATATATAACAACAATAAAATAACTGTCATTTATGAAGTTCTGGATATCAAACCGTGGTGAGCAGTTTTGTCCAGTTTTGAATCCTTGTTCAGCCACTTACCTGGTTAACCTTGGGAAAGTTTCTTAATTCCTCTGGGCCTGAGTTTTCTCATCTAAGAATAATAATGGTATCTATGTTATAGAGTTAATATGAGGGAACTCATTTAAAGAGCTCAAAATAATGGTCATGGTAGGGCTTCGACAAATACTATCAGCTGTCTGTCACACTGTTATTATTAAGTGCTTTACATTTATTATACCATTTAATCCTCAAATTACTATGGGTTAGAACCATGTACTAATAATATCACAAGTTAACATACCTAGAACATTGTGGTTTGTGGAAGTTAGATGTACCCAAGATCTCATAGTTATTATATTTTTCAGAATTGAAATGACTTGGCAATAATAAACTCATATTTTATTGATGGTCTAAATATATGTTGAATTTGTTTGTATATGGCAAGATGGCATATATTTTGTTATAACTAAAAATTTGAGTTATATTAAGTTGGTTCTGGATGGCTCAGGAGGCTGAGACAATTTAGGAAAGGAAATCTCCCCAGTGGTTCCCTGCAAATAATTTTTTGGTTTCTACTATAGTATATCATTTCTTTCCCTTAGGGCATATCTTGCACCACGATCATCAGCTGGTCTGATTTAACTGTCTTAAGCTCTTTGATGATGCTAAAAATAAAACATAATGCTCTATTGCTGGTTTGGAACTCACTTTCCAGGGGTTCTGTGAATTCAGTGACGTCAAGGTGCTAAGCAACTCAGTGAGACCTTGTCTCTAAATAAAATGCAAAATAGGGGTGGGGATGTGCTCAGTGGTCAAGTGCCCCTACGATCAATATCCAGTAAAAAAAAGAAAAGATGGTTGGGTCTTCCTCTTACTCTAAGAAGAAGAGGTTGGAGACAGTGGAACCCTTAGCAACCTATTCTAGCAACAGAGTTGTCAAGTGAAAATGCCCTCACTTATGGCCAGTTCAGACTAAAAAGATAGGAGAGAGACAAACCAAAGTAGAAGTGGAGGCCTAAAGATATGGAGGAGTCAAGGATCACTCATCTTAGTCCAAAAGGGTCCAATGGACTGATGGCAGAAATAGGGAAGTCTGGCAATGATAGGTTCACCACTATGCATGTTTTAAAGACACATAGATGGAGCATGGCATGGGTGCTTTGGGAACTCAAGGATCTGCCACTAACATTTCTGTGCCTCAGTTTCTTCTTTTGCAAAATGAAGAGCTGATCTAAAATTAACCCTTCAGATTCCTTTCAACTTCCTAGAAAAAGCATATGAAGGGAGTAGTGAATGTACAAGGTAAATTTCAGGGATTGAAGAGGTATTGAGTAGGCTGAGAATGTAGTTCAGTGATAGCCCTGAGCTCAATTCCCCAGTATTGGGAGGGGGGACATGGAGTAATCAAAGTATTGGATTAAAATCCAGGCTTTGAAGTAAAAGAGAAAAATGAGGAAATTATTGACTTTTTTAAAAACTAAAGAAAATAATACATTTTAAGAAATTACTTAGGATATTAATTCAGCCATATGTAGAACCAATGCTGTCTATAAATTAAGAAATCTAAAGTAAAATGTGTAACACTGAAAGTCAAATAGCCTTTATTTGCAGAAGATAAGCTTCAGTTTGTGTAGTGTGACACGAAGGTGTTGGAAAAGTCCAGCTGCTCAAAAAAATGTCTTCCTGGCCTTCTTAAAATACTGCTTAGATTTACACCATTAAAATAAACCTCTTCAAATGCACTTTATGTTGTAAAATGCACATTTATTTCACATTCAGCTGTTGTCATGCTTTCCAGTGAATTAGTGTAGCAGGATGACAACTTGCTACAGAGACCAAGATCTGGAAGGGCAGGAGAAAGGGATTCCTTTGGTATGTGTGTTATTACTCAAATCAGTTCAACATGTGTGGCCACCTGTCTCATTCCAGATATGGAGCGCAGTTCTAAAGGCAAAAGGTCAAGTGTGGTTCATTGCCTCAAGATGCTTACAGTCCAGAGAAAGTGGGCTGCATAAAGATCATGCGACAGAGAGAGTTTTGAAAAGTGAGCCCAACAACTAACAAAGGAAAGGCAGAGGGAAAAAGAAGATTGTTCTCATCCATTGCTATTTTGTTAAGTAATTAGAAACCCTAAATTTAAGGAAAACCTTTTTCTCGGTCCCTATAAGAACCTACTAGAATTTAGGCAGGTAGGTTTGATACTCTGTGGGCAGATCATCCAAATCCCTTTAATATAATGAGTTTTGGGACCTTTGAAAATTAAATTAGTAAGATTTTGTATCAGATCTTATAAACTATATAGTTGACTATGAAATACAAGTCCATGGCTACTTTTCATGCTCCTCAGTCCTCTGGAACTTTACTGTATGGCAGGATTGCTAAGACTGATGGGGGAAACCAGGGATGGCAAGAATAAGAAGAAATAAATATAAAGGAATTGGAACTACAAAGATAAAGGAGAACCTCTTTCAACAGTAAACCACAGGGGCACCATATTTTCACAAATGGCATTAAACAAGCACCATAAGATATAACATCATGCAATGCAGAAAATATTGGGCTTAAAAATTGGGGGAACCACAGGAAATCATAATATAACATTTGCTTGTCCTTACTGAGTACTGACTATATACCAAGCATTGTGCTTCATGTTAATAGAAAATATAATGAATGTCCATGAATCCCCAAATTTTATCAGTTGAGATCTTGATGATTTTAGGAAGTGGTGCCTTTCAGAGGGGATTATGTCATGAGGGTTGGATCCTCATGAATGGGATTAGTGCCCTTATAAAGGGATCCCAGAGAGCTCTCACTGTCTTTCCATTGTGAGGATTCAAGAAGTTGGCAGTAAGCACTCTGGAAAAGAAAGAGTGCTCTTACCAGAACTTTGACCATGCTGGCACTCTGACAACAGACTTCCAGCTTCCAGAACTGTAGAAGTAAATGTATGTTGCTGAAGCCACTCAGTCTATGATAGTCTGTGATAGTAATTCAAATTGATTAAAGCAATATTTTCACATGTAACAGAATTCCTACGACAAGCCACTGAGGCTGAGATTACACCAGTTCATCTACTATACAGATGAGAAGACTTAATCAGAGATAAGTTCAAGATCCTATAACCTACCATTTTTCAAGTAGAAATTTGAAAAGGGGTAGTCAAACTCTAATATCAAATTTTAATCACCTGGATTTCCAAGTCACTTGTTACCCAAGTCTTTTAGGGCTCAGATTCTTCAATTAAAACAGACACTGAAGCACAGTAGTACATCTTGTCATTCCAGGGATGGCGAGGCAGGAGGATTGTAAGTTCAAGACCAGCCTCAGCAACTGGACAAGACCCTATCTCAAAATAAAAAGGGTTTGGGGTGTAGTTTTTTGGTAAAGCATCCCTCAGTTCAATCCCCAGTACTGAAAAAAAAAAGGAAGAAAATAAATAAATAGATAAACACTTCAAGCTATCAGTGTAGCTCAGTGGTAGAGTGCAAATTTCACATAGGAAAGGTCCTATATTGG